TCCTGCAGCTTGCAAATATCACATAAAATGCATAAAAGCAGCAGCCTAGGGTGATTTTGCAACTGTCTCCCAAACATCCCAACATGGGAAAGTTAGTAGGAAAAAAAGAAAACCCTGGGAAGAAGAGACTCTGTCTTGAGACTGTCGTGCCCTGGTGGAGCCCCAGGCTGTAAGGAGAGCTCTGTAAGCTCTTGGAGGATTGGCTACATTAGGGGGGATAGGACCCCTCCCCCTTGGTCCCACCCCCCTGTGGTTCCCTGTGATGCCCTTCCCTAAAGGTTCTACCTATGGGTGGGCCACTTCCGGGGTGTCTGTGCGAGCGAACGACAGCATCTGTGATGTCCCTGACCCTCGTCCCTCCAGTAAGTTCGGGCTTTTCCATTTACTCTGCAGCTGTGCCCGCGCCCATCCCTCCCGGCAACCCTCTATCTCTCCCCCTTCTCTCCCTAGTCCTTGACTTCTGGGCATCCCTGTTCTCGGGGGAAGTGTAGTTGGCATCACGGCAGTTTCCAGGATCTCGCCTGTAGTTCCTATAGCTCTAAGGTGGTCCCCTGAGCTCCCGTTGGGCTGTGAGCCTGGCACGGGGCATGTCAGTCCTGCCGCAGCAGCCTCAGAGGCCGCGGAGGAACCCACGGCGGGACAAAGACACTGTGCTCCAATTGCCTTTGAGGAGTAACTTGCATACATTTAGGCCCTTTTCACAGTATCATTCTCAACCAGATGTTATTTGTTGTTTGCCCAATTTCGAGTAAAGCGATACAGGGATGGGGGCTTCCTACAGTGAATTTCCTTCCATTAATGAGCCACCTCTGAAGCACTATGGTCATTTCAAACAGTACCGCTTTTTCCCTGGCCCTTTTCACCGCACAATCTTCCTGACCTTTTTTTGAACATTCTAAGTTGAGCGCTATAGCACTAAACCAATATAGCACTTCAGTGCTATAGCGGCACCATTGAGATGCCTTGACTCCATTGACTCAATGAAGTTAATGCACCTCAGTGCATCTTCAGTGCTGTAGTGCTATAGTGGCCCCAGTGGGAAACAGCATTGTAGGAAACACTATGGACATTTTAAACAGCACACCACAGCAATTTAGAAGCACAATGAAAGGGTAGAAAATGGAAGAAAGCAGTTCCCCTCAAAAGCGACTCAACCACAATTATGAATTAGACGAAAATATTAAATCTACTATGATTTCTTGGATGCAAGATATGGGAAAAGATATGGAAATTGAGCAGTGGGATACAATATGGAAATCCATTAAATTTATGAGAGCCATTGCTTTTAAAGAAAATATTTACAAAATGTACCACAGGTGGTACTGGTCCCCAGATAAAATCGCAAAATGTTATCCACAAACATCCAACAGATGTTGGAAATGTAAACTAAATGTGGGGACTTTTTACCACATGTGGTGGAATTGCAGTAAAATGCAAAGGTATTGGAAAATGGTGCACAAAATTATCTCAGAAATATTGAATCGAGAAATTGAGTTAGCACCAGAAATCTTTTTATTGAATATGACTCCAAAAGGTTATGTAAAACAAGATACATATCTATTAGTATACATTACAACAGCAGCACGAATACTAGTGGCAAAAAATTGGAAGACAGATAAATTACCCTCAAAAGAAGACTTAATATTAAAACTTTTAGAATTAGCACAAATGGATAACTTGAGTGTTATGCTCCAAGGAAAAGACTTTAAAATACAGAATAATAGATGGCTAAGGTTATATAATCGGATAAACCGTGTAATGAATGATTAATGAATCAATAATCAAATTAAGGGAAGTAATTTGATTTAACAACTCTAAAAATCTATGTAATCGATGTAATGGAATGTTTGAACTTTTTGTTGATGAAAAATATGGAAAATAAACTTGGGAAAGAAAGAAAAAAAGCAACTCAACCACGCTTTGCTAACCCGATGCAAGCAGGTTTATATGAACCGGTAAATAAATTCCACTAGCAGTGGGATACTAAAACGGGTCTGTCTGAGAGGACAGAAAAATACCATTAGCGACCAGTTACTAAAATGGAATGCAAAGGCAGTTTGAAAAGGGGCTTAGTCTCCCTGCTCCAGCAATATTCTTCCACAAAATTGGAACATGGCACACACAGAACGGCTGCACACCATCTTCCCCTAGCCTCGAAACCTGAAACTGGCCCTGTTTCCACAAAGCTCCTGTCAATTATGGAGGTTTGTGGGACATATTCTAGGCATGGGAGCCTGTGGGTGCAGTCTCCTGTGCAGAGCACTGATTTGTGCCTGAAAATTTTTCAAGACTTTTTAACTTCTGAGGTGACACTTCAGCTTAAGGTGTGCAGGTATTATAGGGTATTTGATGCTTTTTAAAACGGGAGTGGTGGCTGGTGCCTTCTGTCCCCTACCCCTCAAAAATTGATACTGTTTCTCACTCTGCTGCCAGCAATGCTGCACAACATCCCTCCAAAGTAGGTTTGCCAGCCTCAAGGTGGGCATACAAAAATATAACACTGTGACCCTCGGTTTTTGTATTAGCCTCCAGGTGGGGCCTGGAGATCTCCCGTTTTTTTCAATTGATCTCCAGCTGGCAGAGATCGGCTCCCCTGGAGAAAACGGGTGGGCTCTGTGGCATTGGGCCCTGCTGAGACCCCTCCCCTCCCCAAACCCCGCCTTCTCCCAGATCCACACCCAAAGTCTCCAGGTGTTTTCCAACCCAGACCTGGCAACCCTACTCCAAAGTCAGAGTGGGTTTGGATTTTTATTAGACAGAATTATCACTTGTATCTTGCTCAGGGGTCATTTCATAGAAAAAGAGGCGGAGGAGCTCATTAGCATAACTTATTAGCATAACTTATTTGCATATGCCACACCCCCTGACATCACCGGAAGTGTGTCAGAAGGCAAGACCCACCGCTCAGGCTCCACTGGACTGTTTTGGATTGCTAGCTA